TACCAGTATTCCCAGCCTCCAGTTCTGCAATCTGGTTCCTCCTACTCCTCGACTGGCAGTTCATCCTATCCTTCATATGGGTATTCTAATGGCGTTACCTCTCCACAATCGGCTACGCAGGCGGTCACAAATGCCCTGACAGCCCATGTACCCGCTCAAATTCTACCCTTACCTGGTAAGATTTGTCCCTGAAATAGTCTTATCTTGCCCACTCCAAGGGGAGGCGAATTGTCCCGGGACTTCAAACCCAACTTATTTGGCTAATTGATGTCTAAAGCAATGACTGCAAATACTCCCAGCTCTCACGCATATATGCCAGGTCCAAGCAGCCATGGTCAGTCATATTTGACTCATACGTTTGATACTACCGGTCAAATACCACCTCCTGGTGCCAAACCCAGGGTTACAGCAACGTTATGGGAAGACGAGGGAAGCCTGTGTTTTCAAGTGGAGGCCAAGGGCGTTTGCGTTGCCCGGAGAGAAGGTTCGTATGCACAAAATATCGACTATGTCCTCCCCTTTTTCTTTTTATGGCTGACAAATATATTTTCTTTAGACAACCAAATGATCAACGGAACGAAGTTGCTCAATGTTGCTGGCATGACAAGAGGAAGACGAGATGGTATTTTGAAGAGCGAGAAGGTCCGCAACGTGGTGAAGATCGGACCAATGCATCTAAAGGGCGTTTGGTATATATATAAACTTCAATCTATGATTCATCCACTGGTAAAGATATTTCGGCTAACATACTCACTAGGATCCCGTTTGAACGTGCTTTAGAATTTGCAAATAAAGAAAAGATAACAGAGGATCTTTACCCATTGTTTGTACATGAAATCTCAGCGCTACTTTACCCCCAACCTACCAATCCGCCCAGCAGAGGTGGCGCTCTTACAACTAGGAATGATCAGAGACGTTTTGAAGCAAGCCAGGCTTCTCGATCATCCCACGGAGGACAACCCTCACCTTTGCATCATCATCATTCAATGCACGCTCCGCTTACATCCCATCTATCCCAGCCTCCTCATTCCATTGGCTCCCATTCTGGCTCGGCTCGTCCGGGGTTAGATCGTTCTCATACATTCCCCACTCCCCCAACCAGCGCATCCAGTTTAATCGGCATTGGAAACCACGGCGGCTCCTATGAATGGCCGGCACAAAGTATGGGGAGCAGCGTCCAGAGCTCACAAGCTCTTTCAATCGACACGGGTTTGACGAATGCAAGATCGATACCGACGACACCGGCGACGACACCCCCGGGTGCTAACCTGCAGAGCATGCAGTCTTATCATCAAGGTCAGCCGAGCTATGACAGTTCTAAATCCTACTATTCTACAACCCCTACATCGCAAGCGCAGTATGCATCACACCACGCCCTAACCCAACAGAGTAATATGTCGAGGTATGGACAGTCAATATCCGCGAACCCTTATATCAAACATTCAATGGGACCTCCGTCGGGACGGACGGAAGTGACAAGCGAGCCAATTCCCAATGAAACCAGGGCTGACCAATACTCTCACAGCCAGGGAAACGGACAGGTGAGCCATGGACCGGGTGAGGGAGAGGCAGATCATGACAATGAATCCGACTATATCAACGACAACAATACTGCTTACAGTGCCAACCGTGGCTCATATACATACACCACAAATCCGAGTGCAACAAGCCTCTCGGGAGAGCACCCTCACCTCTCTCCTGAGCTGACGGATTCCACATCTCACCAAAATGGCTCCGACAGCAGGATCACATCACGCACCAGCAGCCAATCACACTGGCAACAGGGATACCATACTCCACCACGACCCGCGCCACCTTCCAGTAATCTATACAATGTAATGAGTGATACCCGTGGTGCTGCTACCAATGGAACAACAGGAGACTCATACTCCACCTCCTCAAACGGCCCATCAGCCTACCCGTCATTAAATGGTTCTGGAAAACGCATGCGCGATGACGACGAGCAAGATCAAACACCTCTCTCCGAAACCCAGAATGGCGACAGCACCTATGACCATAAACGTCGGAAACCCTTGGTCGATAACGTTGGTGGACCTGTGGGGGGCACAGCGCTTGGTATGCCCAACGTGAAAGCAGCCGTTGTTCCTCGCCGTCGATAGTCTCCTTCTTTCTTTCCTCTAGAAGCCCTCTAATGATTAGTACGTTTCCGATGAGACATGGATGGAAAATAGAGCTTCTCTCCTTCCATGGGGATGACAAATAAACGAACCAAAAAACACGAATCTTCTCTTCTTTGTTGATGAAAACTTTTCCATCGACAACCTATGCAGATAACCCAATCTGTATCTTGCAGTTCTTTTTTCATTTCTATTTTCTTCTTCTCTTCTTTATTATTATTCTCACTAGGCTAAAGCGCAATGAGTCTCTACTACTACTACCATTATTGATTTTGTCCCTGTATACGAGTCATGCTTCACCTGACCGCCAATGAATATCTATCATGAAATATGGGCTTTAAAAAAGATTACGACACTTAACGCAGCGAGCGATCATTGTTTTTTGTGCCTCGCCTTTTGCTTTTTGCCAGTTGCATTTTGAGTGTCCTTGTGCGGAATCGAATTGCCTCCCAAATTTAAATCCTCACCGGTTCACGGTTGTCTCAACCGCTTTCCCCCTCCTGGCCGATATGAATCGTCAACGGACACATCCAGCTTCAACTTTGCTTTCCTTTTTCTATATTCCTTCGTCTTTCTGTTGCCCCTTCATCAGGTTTTATTCCTTGTTTTTCTTTCGTTGCCTCGCCTTCGCCTTCAGCTTCAGTCTATTCAAACAAAAACTTTTTCTTTCTTCTTTTCCCTACCGTATATGCCTTGCAGCAGCTTGAAACTGTGCTTTTATAATGACATCTGCAAAGCCTCTTCGACGGATTCAGCCCATTTATTATTATTTTTCTTTTATCTACGAACGATTTAGGCTATCTGCACTTTTTCTTGTTCGCGTATCTTGATTGGGTTGGCCCAATTTACCTCCGCTTTTCCAGTGTTGGCCTATTTGAACTTTTTTGGATTTGCTATTTTCCCTTCCTTCTCCCATGCCTCTTTTAAAAAAACACACCGCCTCTCAATTATCGATTTTTCCATTTCCTTCTTTTCCTTTTATTTTATTTTATTTTTTATTTTTTGGTTGCTGTGGCCTTTTGCTAATTGGTGTTTTCCTCTGTTTTCTCGAAAAACTTACTATTTATTCTTGACGACTGTTATGACACGAATCTCCTTTGGAAATTTAAATGCTAGTTTTTAACTGTTATATGAATTTCCACGTGTGCAGGTTGATTTATTATTATTAAATAATACAGTCATATTAGAGACATCCTATCCTATCTTCAATACTTTTTACAGTACTCTCTCAACTTAAGATTTACTCTTGAGTTTACCTGCCTCTCACCCTACGACTGGATAGGGATGAAAAAACGAATTGACTAACGCCGATTCACTAAAAGGAAGCATGCTATTGGCATGCCATGTTTTCTAAAACTCTTACAGGATATATTATTTCAATAGAAATATGTTTCTTATTTTCACCCCTCTCCCATACCTCTCCAATTAGTGCCCCAGACGAAGGCATTTTCAACATGCTCTCTCTATTCAGTGTTATCCAGTTTACATTCATTTCCTATTTTGATCTCCTCTTTTCCACATCATCTTCCCATTTGATTATTTCGGGATATATCCCAAATATGTGTACCGGTGCGGGTTGGTCGTGAAACCTCTCTGGCTCTGGTAGTGACTGTGTTCCCATTCTCAACAGTTTTGTTTGAAATACTTGTCACACATGCCTTTTACCTCGACCTTGACAGATTAGCGGTATCTCGGTCTTGATCTCATTTATCCATGTTACCCGACGTCACTTGAGAAAGATGTGGTAGTTGGAAGCTTCGAATGGGGGGACGGGAATGGGGCGATGTGTAAGTTCCTAGGTAGTTATGTACCGCCACTCCTGTAGAGATAGGATAGAATTTAGTATTAAGAAAATTCAATCTCTTCCACTAGCCATAAAAGGGACATGCAAAAGGCCAGTATCATTGCTGTTCTGCAAAATCTCTTTAATGTCTAAGCTCTGTTGGCGTTTGTCGTTGTAGCCCAGCCCTGTTCTTGGTTTGAGAAATGCAAGCTCTGCTTTTCACCCCCGCATGTTACAACTATAAGAACATTCCTAGAGTGTTCGTTCCATAGGTTTTTTACTATGGTTTGTTTCCATAAAATATTCGCAGTTAAGATCAGAGAGTTTTATGGTCCGCTCCACCCTTATTTCGGACCCAACCTTACTATTGTAGGCAACAGAAAAACTAACATCCATTCGGCTCGACTGTTAGTTTTGACCCGCCCTGCCGTTGGAAACCACCCTTTTATGCTGCGGTATTCTGATGGGTGAAAGCAGTCGTGGGACAGACCATTGCTGCAACCCATTTGTGGATAGCAAAGGCCGCAGATTTGAAAGTCTCCACAGCCGTACGTCCACCATCCGCTCATCCCGCGACATACTCAATTTGTCATGAAACATAAATAAAAACGTAAAGAGGGGCTGGGTATGTCGTCATGAACGCAGACTATCTACCTATGTCCGAAGGCTTCTGGGAACGCACGTTTATTATCGGCTGTTTGTCTAACAAGCCCCGAGTTACTCTCCCGTACTCTAGAGATCCTGTGCAATAACCTGTGTTAGACGCGTAGTAGTGTACAATATTCATATTCACTTTTATCCAATCTATCCGGAGAGTTTAAGTTGCCTCGACGCCAAACAACTAGAAAACATGAGATCTAGTTCCTCGAAAAGAAATGAAAAGAGAAACACGAAAATCATCCGAAATGATCTTCAAACACACTGACTGAAAATGTGAAGATGTCAAGAAAACCCATGCTACCCTTCACACTCCGTTAAACCGCATTCTATCCTTAGCCTCCCTCTGCTTCGGAATGGATGAAAAATGAAAAAAAAAAAGGAAAAAGAGCTAGAAAGAGGTAGAGTTGGGACGATTCTAACTACTTCGCAAGCTCCCGTTCCCACGCTTCTGAAAATACCTGTTGCCACAAATCAATCCAACGCTGTTCGTTGGGTGCCAATTCCTTTTGCGGGTTACGAATATTGGTGGATAGAATATTTCGTATTCGAGTGCTGAGTGCCTTTATAGCTAGCATTGATTTCCAATCCTTGACGGAGAACCTGATGCGGGCGCCGTCCAAGGCGATGATGCCAGCGAATAGCTTGTTCGTTTTGTGTTAGTAGAGTTCACGAGCAGTTTTATTTACATCGAGAGTGCTCTTGGTATGGCAATCCAGGAAGTTAAATTCGCAACTAGATGAAAAGGGTGAATAGGTAAATACCTTGAACTCGACATCTCCACACAGCAATGAAATTGCAAAGTCCTCCACCGGGCTCGTTTCACGGGCATTTAAACATCGACTGCGAGACTGCATGATGTGATAAAAGGAAAGCCATTCCAAGGGGGCATCGAGCCGTTGGTTCACGGAGGATACGTGGAGCGACACCGTTTGATTATTGGCCACATTTCTCCAGCCTTTCCCGTCGCGACTGAGTAGTTTGGGATAAAAGCTCCATGCAATCACTGAATTTATGATTATGTCATTCGCACTGTTGATATCTGCCCATTTGGGCACGGTAAAGAAGTGGCGTTGGCGGTCAGTAAAGCGGGCTCTGTGTGAGAATGACGTTAGAAACTTTGGGACCGAAGAACAAACATCATGCGAGCGCATGTAGCGTTGGAGACAGACCTTTTCAGAGATTCCTGTTCAGCAGAATCTAGTATGATTAGTCCAGCATCAACAATCAATACTAAGAGTTGCAATTTTATGTCTTCGATGTTGAGCAACGTCTGTGGGCTCAGGAAGTTTTTCCTGCAAAACGCGTATTCGCTCATCCCTGGAGTACTTCTGTGGCGTTTCCATGCTAAATACACATTGTAAATGGTAAGAAGATCCGAGTTTCCTATGTCGGGAATTAGTGTAAACATTAAAACGAATGTATGCTATTGAGCGGAAAAAAGCGCACCCCGTTTAAATGACAACTTCGCAAGTTCCCTTTGGGAGTTAGAACCGACAGTGTTGACGAATGGAGATTTCGATGATAGGATCGCGGCGATGCTGACTGCGCTATCTAGACATTTAAAAAAAGCCCCATAGATAATAAGTTTTCCGAGAAGGACATCTAAAGGTAACTTCGCAAGTTGTCTCCCAAGCACAGTCAAATTCTCATTACTCGTCAATGCTTTGACCTCTTTAAGTGCCTCAATGGCACGGCGTATGTTCTTGGACGATGGGGGGTCGATGGCTTCTGAAAGTGTCTGTTCGACGTCTCCTAGATTACATATTTTCACCCAAAGGACGAGTTCTTGTAACGAAAGCCGGAGCATTTCTGGTGTTTGCTGTTCGGCAAGCTATTGCTGATCGTTAATACATACATGGGCATGATTTATAGGAAGAATCTTGGGGGTTTAAACGAACCAATCGATCATGGCGATACTTCGTGAATAAATGAAAGCAAAGTCCACTCTGTACTCGACCGGCGCGGCCTCGACGTTGTTTGGCATTCGCCCGCGATATGAAAGATTCTACTAATTTGGATAGCTGACTCTTCTCGTTGAATCTGTTTCTATTAGCACCTTATCATATTTAGCTAGCTGGGTATAAAATTGTGACCCACCGCATAACCTTGTTTTTGCCTGTATCAATGACTGCTGTAATATCTGGAATTGTAATGCCTAATAAATGTTAGTTGAAGGAGGGAGAGACGACAAAGATCTAAGCCTCACCTGTTTCAGCGATATTAGTGGCAATTACGATCTTTCTTAGGCCCTTTGGAGGGGTGAGAAAAGCGCTCTCTTGATCCTCGCTAGCCATGGAAGAGTGTAGAGCGTGAATAATCCACTTTCGGTTGTTGAACAGCGGTTCAGATAAGATTTCGTCATTGAGCCGCCTTATCTCTGCCATCCCCGGCATGAATACGAGAATGGCCTTGCTATACCGCTCAAATTCTTTCTTGGTTGCAATCGCCAAAAGGAGGTTTACTATCAGTTTATAGTCTAGTCGGTATTCGTCAAATCCAAGTACAGTGTCTCGGGTTTGTCTGCTGTAACCTGCCAGAGAGGATGCAAAATCTACCGTAGGATTTTCGGCATTCTCGTTTAATGGGTCATCGCTGTCATATACGGGTGCAGAGAGCTGATCGTCGGTTGGATGGTGCCCTGTAGCTTCAATTGCGTCCTCAAGGTACTTAACCTCCACAGGAAACATCCGACCGGGGATATTCAAGACAGGGGCACCATGGAAATATTTGGAAAATCTTTCCACGTCAACGGTGGCCGACATCAACACAAGCTTCAGATCTGGCCTGTCTTGCATTAACCTGCGAAGGATAATTAAAAGAAAATCATTGTCGATTGTACGTTCATGCACCTCGTCCAATACTAGATGGGTAATATCCTGGAAATCGTTAGGTCGTTTCAACATCCTTACAACTACCCCTGTTGTCCTGGAATACATGTCAGTGAGGACTATATAATAAAGTGAAGGGGATAGAATACGTACGCAAATATTAGTCGTGTTGAGCTTGAAATTTTACTCTCTAATCTAATGGCATATCCAACGAGCGAGCGACTGGTTCCTACTGCTTTGTTATCCTCTCCAAGCTCTTCGCTCACTCGCTTGGCTAATGATATGGCTGAAATGCGTCGCGGCTCTGTAACGTAAATTTTGCAGTTTCGGCCTGACAACAGCTCATTCTCCAGCAAAAATGAAGGAATTTGGGTACTCTTCCCGCTCCCTGTTTCACTGCAGATAATTATGGCTTGGTTGGTAGAAAGGGTTTCTAAGATCTGGTCTTTGAACTTCCATATAGGTAGCGTTTTTCTTGAAGACTCCATAGCTGCGAAAGAGGAGGTTGAGGATCTATCCGTCCAGAGCTTTCGGAGCTGTTCTGCAGGCTTCGTAGCTTGATTTGGCTGACTGGCCCCTTGCAGGAGGGGGGGGTTGATTCCACTGTTCCGTTTTCGGAAATTATCCAAAAGCACAATATCATCCTCTAATGTTTCCATTTTTTCTTGGACTACTTTTTGAAGGGCTCTCAGAACATCCTTGTCGGCTTCATCTTCCTGATTCTTCTTAACAGTAACGAATTCATCCCACAGATCTCGCCATACAGCAGGCAGTCTCATGTAAACCTTTCCCTCTTTCTGAGAATGGGAAAATAAGATGAAAAGAGCCACCGTTGAAATGTACGACTCAGCCTGCAGGGCGGTAGGAGTTGAAATTGACACCATTGACACACATACTGAATGTGAGCCACCTCTGTACGATATGTCGTCCAAGCGCACTGGAGGTGGCGGGTCTTGTGCTTTTGACCATCTAATTTCAACTTCCTTGCGATGAGAAAAGGATGTTGAGGAAACATCTCTATACACTATGTTCCATGCAGAGTCCCTTTTTTAGACAGAAGTTAGTCGTGAACAAAAAAATGCAGGAAAGGGAATCTCCAAACCTTGCCCGGCAAGCTTCTTCGAGAATCCGTCGCGGATTCAATCCTGCTTGTTTGCCAAAGTCTCTGCTTCTAATTGATGAATTGCCATTCCAATTAGAATTCGAAACCACTGCAGAAGAACCGTCTGCATCAGTGCTAAATAAGTTTCCAAAAATATCATCGTTATCGTTCGAATCAGGCAGTATTGGCTCTATCAACGTATCAGAAACGTCTAGAACTTTAGGCTCCTGTGGCTTGGTAAGAGGAGTCACTAGTGGACGCTCTTTAGCTGCGTTCCGTAAGTGTTTCGCAGTATCTTCCCTTAGCTCATTTAGCTTTTCCCCCCATAGCTCTTCAGCCCGATCGTGATCGAATAGAATGTCGTTTTCGATTTTTGCTAAATTTCTTTTCAACGCGGCTGTAAGGTGCTGGGTTCTGTCATCCCCTGAAGTGGATGACGAAATTACTTTTGTTTTTCCCTTCTTCGTCCGATTAAACAAATCTGGTTGTTGCATGTAGAGCTGTGTATGGAGATTAATATATTTAGGAACCAGAGAGTCTGGGTTGGTATCAGACTCATCAGAGTTGTAGCTTGACTGATTCAGGGGTGTTTCCCTTTCCATTTTCCTTAGACTTGAACGAGTATCGCTAGGGGTGTTATAACCCGTGCTTGAGGGATTTGAACCCAGTTTACCTATCCAATCTGTCAGCATACGCTTTGGAAATAACTACAGCAGACCATGTTTCTCACCCTTCTCAAATGAGGACGCTTCCCTCCTGATATTTGAGTGGTTGGGCTTAGGCTCGTCATATTGGGGTAGGTTCTTCTCGTCGCAATGCCTGGCAAGCCATTCAATAGATTGATCTAAGCCCCATATAAGATCCTTCCTAGCTGCTGGATCGTTGAAGCAAAACTGTAGGCAGTTTTTCAGAGTTTTTTCAACATCCTCCGGCGCAAAATTCAAACCTAGAAGAGTGTGTCGAAGGGTCCAAAGTTTTATACAGAGGTCCTCCCCCGAAGAGAGTATCTGGCCCTCCTCTGTTTCGGGTCTGGAAGCCTGCTCGACGGACTTCTTTACCTCCATTTTCTCCATCTCATTGATTTTATTCAAAATGGAAGGGGACAACCAGTCGGTCACATTTAGAATGGATGCTTGGGGTCGCAGGATACGCTTCTCAGTCTCCAACTTAAGAACTTGGCGAGAAGCATCATTCTTGCACTTGACGCCATATTTTTCAACCAGAAATTGAAGTTCAGCATCCTCAAGATGTTTTTGGAGCTCCTCTAGAGACAATTCCTGAAGCGAAGGCTGAGGCTGTGACCCAATGGAAGCTTGTGATGGTGGTTCAGTCGGGGTTTCTGACGCTTCCTGGTGTCCCACTGGCGCAGTCGAGGACAGTGATGTTGTAGATCCAGTCGCCTTTGACTTTGACGGGACAGAGACTGTTGTGAATCCTCTGGATGGGTTCGAAGAGGGTTTCTTCTTCTTCCTGTTCGGGGCCATCTTAGGGAAATTCTGCTTTTCAATTAAAGATGATGTCAGAGCTCAAAGATCCGTATGGGTAAATAGTGGTGTATTTGGTTATCGTAAGGAAACCCGTCAAAGAAATAGCAATTCAAAGAGCCAAATCCAAACCTCATGGCGAGAACCACGTACTGTCATTTGTGCCTGATTTCACCCTATTGTTGTTTGGTTGTCGTTGTGGAGGTGAAATTTGATTTTAAATATCTCCAAGGCCTCAAACCAGCGTTGCTGACTATTTATTTAGCTGCCACAACAATTCCCCCCCACAAACAAAAAATCCCAAGTGAGTTATTTCAATGGTCAACAACTTTATCGTATTTCTTTAATACCGACGACCACGGAGCACCGTAGTTCGGGAGCAATAAATAATCTCCAGATTCAAATTCCGAAGTTCCGACATGCGCAAAAGCCATGCGATATGGACGCAATCGAGTGGAACAAAGTGAGCGAGGGCTCTCTCGAGAGTCTGGAGTCGGTTGTGCTCTCGGGTTCAACTGCTTGCCGACGCCACGGACTGCATGAGCTCCATGAAAAACTGTCTGGTAAATAACAGCGCCCTATCTACCACGTAGTGCTGCGACATGTGAACTAACTGCTCGAAGGATCCCAAATCGCACAGGACATATGTCGGCCGGTTGCCCAGCTTTTGTTCAGGACGTATCCGATTTACGTTGACCGCGCATCTCGTCAAGCAGCCCAGAAATGCCTGAGTGCCCTCTTTCGAATTCCCGCCGCAAACCAGGACCGCCAATATTTCATACAAGAATTAAGCAAGGAGTGCTCTAAACCGGGGATAGCTGCTGCGAATGCGTTTGTTTTGGCAGAATGGTGTTCGCTGCTGTTACAACAGCTGAGTGGGCTGCCTGACTCCACACAGTCCGTATTAAATCTCTTATCTTCAGACGCCAAGGTTGTGGAGATTTGCCTGCGGGCTAAAACGAAAAGAACCATAAAGCACTCGGCCATTATTGTGACCAGGCGGGCGTTGCGAGCTGTTCTCTCTTCTGAGGCAACTGGCGAGGAGATTTTACGGCGGACAATTTCGATGTTAACAAGCGATGGCGCCTCTGGCTCAAGAAATTCTCCCTTTCTCGGAATTGTAGCTGGGGTCAGCGCTCGGATTCCTAACAGAAAGCCGGTTCTGGACGATGTGAAGGCTGGTATCCTGCAATTCTATGCGAAAGAAATTATTGGATCCCGCACAGCCCTCCCTTCCCATATCGTAGGAGGATTGCACGACTTCTTTATTTCGTTCGCGACTGCTGAAGATCTTCAAACTACTGTCTGGCCATTCCTTGAAAAGGCCATTCTTAGAGCTCCTGAAATTGTCTTCAGTGGACTGATACCCTCACTGGCGGCCTCGATACCTATTGAAGTCGAGATTTCAGAGATTTTCTACACTCATTTCTGCAAACTGCTCCTAACGAATATCAAATCTGCAAATGCATCCATCAGAAATGGTGCTGTCAAAGCTTTTGAAAGTCTGGTTCTTAGATGCAAGTCTGAACAGGGGCTTCTCAAGGTTGTAGAAGAAGTTATCGCGCCCCTGAAAACCCAGAAAATTACAAACGCTGAACAGCGAGGTCTTCAAGCCCAAGTGCTCTCCTCTATTCCGTGCTCCACTGATGTGTCACAATCTATACTGGGAGGTCTCGTAGCCGTTTTATCTCGTGAAGCTAGTGAAGTAGCGTTGGATATTGAGCTCAAGTCATTCTGCTATCATCTCGCCTTCCTCATTCACACTGCAGCACCTATTGGAAAGGAAATATTAGATGCTGCAACTAAAGGCTGCAGTGAAAAACGAGTCGCCTTCCGCAAACTGTGGCTGATGAACGTCGGGGAGCTTTTGTGGAATACAAAAGATGATGACTTGCTTCATTCTAACTTTACAACGGATTTCCTTCATCCAGTGGTTGCCAAGTTTCATGAGTCTTTTGATGACATCGTTGCTAACCTTTTGCCTTCGGTTCAGAATGGGGCAATTACAATAGCTTTCGTCTTTGTTGCTCTATTAAACAGACTCAAAGAACAGAAAGACAAGAATGGAGCCACTTTATTGGCCTATGATAAAGTTATGCAACAGACATTATCCATATCACCGAAACCGTCATTCCTCCTCAACCCGAAAGTCTACACGAAGTTGAACTCTACTGAAGATTTCCTATGGAAAACACGTGCCTTATCTACGGTCTCCAGATCGGCGGTGTTTCAGACAGGAGATCTGTTGGCACAAAAATATTGGGCACAAGCGTTCATGTATGTGATATGTTCATTTGGTACGCCACCAAAGGTTAGAGAACATGCAGTGAATGCCCTAAAACAGAGCTATTGTGCAAATCCAGCCCAAGTTGGGATGGCAGCGATCACTGGAATATGGGAGTGGCTTCATGCTCTAGACACTGCAAATAAAGACTCCGCTTCGGTGAATGCTGGGACTGGAAACGAAAGACTCTACCGTGTAATCAAAGCTATCAGCATTTCGCCCCCCGAACGAGCACATAATCACATCATCTCCAGCGAGATTCTTAAAGCTCAACTGGTTGAATTGCTGGTTCTCTGCCGCCCGCAGTTGATCCCAGGAACACAATGGATCGATGTGGTTTTGAAAACTGGCATAGACCCAGGGGAACTGGTCAGTGAAAAATATGAGGAATGTATGGCACAAATCCTGAGGGCTGTTGATGTGAGTCTTCTCAGAGTTTTACCATTTCACTAGGGGTGATACCGTATCTTAACATATATTTTGATAGGACCTAACACGGAGCCAGATCAGCAAGGGGAGAGCTGCAGCGTGGGAAGCGGCAGCTGATCTGGCATTCGTTGCACCCGACATCATGATTCCGCGCCTGATAAAACAACTCCATGAAGATTTAGACCCAAAACGAGTACTAAAATTCGAGCCAACCGACATTGCCATTGCCCGAACTCCCGAAGGAACAACGTTTATAGAAGTTCTCAGCTCCAAATCCACGCCGGTGATTAGCAAGGGCAGGGATTCCGACACCCTGAAATGGGAGGAGGAACTTCGCGCCCAAGTTGCTCAAAAACGCGGCCAACCGCAGAAGAAATTGACTACTGATGAACAAGCCAAAGTCAATGCCCAACTGGCTAAGGAAGCTCTAATTCGGCAAAATGTGCAATCGGAGGAAGAAATAATCAAAAGGGGGGCTGGGATTGTAGAAAGCCTTGCGCGGGGACCGCCAACGGATGTTGAAGCGTGGATAAATCCCGTGGTCAAATGTCTTACCGACCTTGCGAGGGCTGGAGCCGGTGCCCTGGTCGGTGATGCAGTTTCATCAGCATATGTCTCCTGTTCAGATCGAATATCTACCAGACTTGGACTGGTGCGGCCATTTGTTGGTATTGCTACGCTCCGAGCTCTGGGGAAAACGTACCTATACCCACAATTAGAAGATGAACCTCTTGGTGGTATGTTTTTGTAAAAGACATAATTAACTAAAGCTCGTGTTGAAAATGGTTTGGCTGATCAATTTCTATAGAGCTTGTTACAAGAATTCTTTACCGTCTTCGCTTAGGCTCGGAGCAGCGACCTTTCGACTTTGCTACCCTCTCATATATCCTGCCTTTGATTTTTGTTATTCTTGAGAAGGATGGCATTCAAGAATCTAAAGACAGCAAAGGAGAACAAGTTCTACTAGCTCTCGAGTTTCTCTCTCTTCATACGAGTTCATGTAAGTGTCACAAATCTTTTGAGTTTAATGTTGGTTGATTTACAAAAATTTTTATAGTTTCCGACAACAGGCTCCCCCGTGTTACCGCCCTTCAAACTTTGATATCCTCCATGCAGAGATATACTCAGCACCATAAGATCATTCGAGACGCTTTATTTAATCTTTGCAGGTGTATAGCACATAACTTTGAAAAAGATGAACTTGAAGTTATTCTTCAAGCCTCTATTGTCCCTGAAATACCGGTTCGGAGCTGTTTGCTCCAGGTAATTTTGTCGGAGATGGATCTTACAGACCTTGACTTTTCCGAGTACATCTGGCTAGCGTGTCACGAACATGTAGCGGAGAATCGCGAAACAGCTGAAGCTATCTGGGAACAAAATGCTCTCGGTATTAATGAAAAGTCCGCGAGTCTCCTCATAAAATATCTCGAGAGTACAGACTCGCAACTCCGAGGAGCAGCGTCTCGAGCCCTGGCCCACGCTTGTGAAGTTAGTGCAGCAGTATTTGCTGATACTCTTCAAATACTGAAATTGAAATACAGAGAGGAAGTTATGCCCAAGGCTCCTGAAAAGGACGCTTACGGCATGCCCAAGAAGGTTGACAACAAAGATAAATGGGAACCTCGTAGTGGAATTGCATTGGCATTTGGGGCTATGGCAAAGGGCTTCCAAGGAGACCAAATTGTCATGCTGCTTCAATTCTTGATTGACGAGGGTCCTTTAATTGACAAGAACGATTTGGTTCGACGCCAAATGGCCGAAAGTGGGAGCACAGTTATTTCTCTGAAAGGCCACGAAAAGGTAGAGCAACTGATGCAGCTGTTCGAAAATACTTTGGAAACATCAGATAAAGCCAGCAAGGAATCAGATTGGCTCAATGAGGCAGTGATAGTTCTATACGGTTCCCTTGCTCGTCATCTGAAGTCCGGAGACAAGCGGGTGGACACTGTTATCCGAAAGCTCCTTGCTGCTTTGTCCACGCCATCCGAGACAGTTCAATTCGCAGTCGCCGAGTGCCTTCCTCCCGCTATCAGGCTTTCAAGCGCTGATGCGGCGACCTACATTAAAGAAATACTTGACCAACTCTTTCACTCGAAACAATACGCAGCAAGACGTGGTGCAGCATATGGGTTAGGCGGCATTGTTAGTGGGAAGGGGGTATCGGCATTCCGAGAATACCGCATTATGGCACATCTCACCGATGCGTTAGAGAACAAGAATGATCCCAATCAAAGACAAGGTGCTATTATGGCTTTCGAGTTATTCTCCTTGATTCTAGGCCGGATCT